ACACACACACACACACACACACACACACACACACACACACACCTGCATTTTCTTTCTACCTTTGGTCATTGTTATGTAAAAATGGGATGCTTAGAGATGTAGCAGCCATTTTGTAACCATGAGGGAAGCAAAGAGAATCACTGAGAAGACCTACTATATGCCAGGCTGAAACATGTGTTTCATAGTAACAATAAAAGTGACAAAGGAAAAGAAGAATCTAGGCACAGAGAGGTGAGGCAAATTGAGCCAGGCATCCCAGCAAGCAGAGACCTGGGATGATATCAGGCTCCCAACTCTTGACCCTTGGGCTCTTTCTCCTTCACTAGATTGTGAAAGAAATAGGGGCAGAGGGCACTCAGAAGATGTGGGATGCGGGGGCCTCAGAATGTCCCATGCACACAGAGAGGTGTCTGTGGAACACTGCATGTGTCATGTGCCATAGGCCATAGCAAGTATGTTCTGGAGAAGACACGAGGGTACACTGCCCCACGGGTATGTACGGAGCTTTGTGATAATGTGAAACACCCCTTGGGAATTAGGTCATTCATCAATTCACTCCATCATTTTCACTCCATCATTTTTACTAATTTGCAAAATGCTGACTTTGGCCCATACCCTGTGCTGCTGCTTTGGGGGATGCAAAGAATCAGAACATAGGCATGTTGCCTTTTTGAAGCTTGCAGAAGCCTAGATAGGGAGGGGAATCATGCCTGCAAAGAGTTAGGAACCAAGACAGGACAGAGCAAATACCAGGTGAAGGGACCAGGCAGCCGGGGCTCAGGGATTTAGAGAGGGGAATGGTCCCTGGGACGTGGGCAGTCAAAAAGGGCTTCATGAAGGCAGAGGACAAGAAAAGGAAGGAGTCAGATGATGGAGGTTTGGGGCCTGGAAGACAGGGAGAACGAAAGACAGAGTTTGGGTTGTCAGGAAAAGGAGACTTCATCTTACTTCTTCTCCACACCAATGGAAGAGGTTTAAATTCTAAGTCTTCATCTACATTCTAATCCATGGTTTCATTCATTTCAACCCATTTTTACTGAATGTGCTGGTACATACAGGCAATTTACAGCTACAAAGAGGCAAATCCCACAAGGAGCTCTGCCTCCATGTTAAGACAGACCTGTGATCGGCCAATGACTGGAGATAAGTGTTGTCACAGGGGTAGACACAGGGTGCCGCCATGCCTGGCCAGAGAAGGGACACGGCAAGATGGTTTTTCAGGGACACAGATTGAAATCTATCTTGGGGCTCTAGGGAGTCCTCTAGGCTTGGTGCAGGGACTGCTGGCCTGCTGATTAACTCACCCCCGACTCAACTTTCTATTACCATCCAGTTCCCTTAGACAAGAGCTCACCCTTGTCTCTTTGTGTGGATGACACCCTTGATCGGTCCAATTATTTTGGTCTCTCATCCCAAGGAAGGAGGCTGAATGAGGAGAGACTCTGTTTCACCACCCTGAGCAGATTCTCTTTGCTTAGAGTTGTAGGGACATCTGTTAAGTAGACACCTATTATCCTGGGGTGAGAAAGGGTGTGATAGGACAGTGTGGGTCTGTCCCCCTCACACATTCCTTTGTAGGCAGAGCTTGAAGTTTGCTGGGAGGAGGCAGGCAGTTGTTCAGTGGCCCCGTGCTGCCTTGGAAACCTGCTCTTGGCTCGCTGAAGATCATCAACACTAATATCTCTAATGGATGGAGGTGGCTCCATGTGTGGGGAACAGGTGGGAGAGAATGTCAGGGACCTTGGGAAGGAAACGCTCGGAGTCTGGCATTCAGTTTGCAGAGTGTGAAGAGACGAGGCCATGTTGAGTGGTCAGGCTGGTGAGGCGGGATCCATCAGGGCACAGCTTCTTCTCTGGGCATTGTTGGAGGTCATCTCTGCTTAGCCAGGCCCATTCGTGCCTAACATCATTGTCTAAGATGGACAGGAGGAACCAGGAAGTGGCCAAAGTGGTCCGCTGCACTGAGATAAGGTGTCGAACGAGAAGGTGAGCTGGTCCCGGGGTTCGAAGGCAGGTGCTGGCCTTAACTGGCTTCAGGGCATCTTTCACCACAGGAAAGTGTTTGTTCTTCCCAGGACAAGTCGTTACAGGTCTGTCAACAATTTCCATTTCCATTCAACGAATATCTTTTGTGTGAGACTCAAAGGGGTACAAAGGAGCTCTTGCTTTAGAGGAGTTTGCTGCCAATTTGGGTGCTGAGAGAGAAACCCAAAATGTTCAGGAGCCTCACAGGAGGATGAGAGCACAGCTGGTGGGAGGGGCCTGGAAACAAGCCGTATAGTGAGCATTTCTGAGAACCTGCCAGCAGCCAGGTGCCATGCTGAGCACTTCACATAGAGAATTTCATTTTATCGTCCCCTCCTTTTATAGATTGGGAAACAGGCTCAGACGACATGAGGTAACTTGCCCAGGGACACAGAGCTGGAAAAAGGCCAAACAGAGATGAAGGTCAGATATCTCTGAGTCCAAAGTACATTCTCTTATGCATTTTGCTTGGCTGCCATGTGGGACAGATGGGTTTGAAATGAATCTGGAGGGTGAGAAGGAGCTTGTCAGATGGAGCCTTTTCAGGAGGAAAGTGCAGCCTGAGGAAAGGTGCGGAGGCAGTGTGGTACCAGAAATGTGCTCAAAGGGCATCTTTGAGGATAAGGCCAGAGGGAAGGTTTAGGTCTGCAGGGCCCTGGGCCTGGGGCTGGTGCCCCTTCCAGAGGCCACAGGAACCACTGGTGGAGGGAAGAGGCCTGATGACAAAGAAAGGAAATGAGGACAGAGGAGGGAAGAAGCAAACCAAGACTGGAGGAAGGAGAACATTCTGGAGATGTGAGCTGGAGGCAGGAAGAAAGGGGAGGAGCTGCCCCTTCATGTGGGCAGTGGAGTTTCTTAGAGACGAGCCGCCCAGAGAAGCTTGTCCTGGCCTGAAGGTGCAGCCGGCAGACCTCAGGGAGGAGCCTGCAGCCCCCACCACCTCGGGGAGGAGAGAGACAGGCCAGGAGTGGGGCCGAGGAGAAGAGGAAGAAGGGCCCGTGGATGGCCAAGGTGAGAAACGACTTTCTGTTGGGTTGGTCGGAGGGACGAAGAAGGGACAGGGTCTGGTGAGAACCACACCATCAGCACTCAGAGGGTTCCCTCAGACCCAGTCCTGCCTGTGATGTGTTGTGTCTGTGAGTCTGTGCTTCTTGGTCACAGCAGAAGTGACTCTGGGGAACAGGTTCCTACAGGATGATACCTGCTTTTGCTTGTCCTGTGTGGCATTGGATCTGCAGTGCTGGAGAACCACTGGGCCAGCACCCTTGACCCAGATGGGAGCAGCCATGCCCACACCACCCCATCTCCGGAATCCCCATCCCACACAGTCAGACCTGCCGGGCCAAGCCCTTATCTGTCCACTCCTGGCTGACCTCCATGCCTTAGCTCACACTCCTCCGGTTAGCACACTCACCTTCTTGCACACCTTTCTCTGCCTGCTCCAAGCAGCTTTCCCTTGTGGGTCTGCTGCCTGCTCTTTTGCCTGATGGCTTAGTGTGCATCTATGTAGTCCTTCCTCTCACTTAGAGTCTCTAGATTTTATTTGTTGTATATGTTCATCTTATATCCCCACAGAGATGACAAGGTCTCTGAGGACAGGGATCACATCTTACATTTTCCCGTCTCTCGCATGACACCTGAAATTGGTTCACAGAAGGAATTTCCCTTCCCCCCGACACACAGGCCCTGTGGCTCCAGGACTGTAGCCCCCAAACCGACCCAGAAGACATGGTCGAGCATGGGAGGAGAGTTGGGCGCAGAGAGGCTGAAGCATGCCTCCACCTTGATGGTTCTCTGGAACAATTCTAAGCTGTGGGGACCGTGGTGCTGATCCAACCTCCTTACTCCACTGTCGGGCAAATGGCAGTCCCTGGGTGGGGCACAGGTGCCCAGAGTCCCTCAGAAACACCACTATGACCAACAATGACCCCCTTTGGCTACAACTCAGTTTTCCAGGCCTCAGACCCCACCATCTGTAGCATTCCCCATTTTGGAAACGTCTCTCTCCCAGACCCGAACCTACTTCTCTGGCCAGTCTTTCCTTATCTCCTTTGCAGGTGTTTTTCCTCTCTATCTAGCCCTCAGAGTGCCTCAGGATGCAGTCACCTGGTTTTTTTCTCCCTCTCCCACCCCTTCCTTGGCAGACAAAGCCACCGGCCACGGGAAGGACCACTTCTGATTCTTGCAGAGCCCTGGCTCCCCGTTCTCTTCTGAGTTTCCCAGCCACCTAATTTCCTGCCTCTTGGGTGCCTCTTGCACGTGTGTCCTAAAGGCACTTCACGCTCAGTACATCCAGACCTGAATTTGTGACTTCCCTCAGCACTCTTCCCCAAACCCTGTCCCTGCCCAGTGATCCCTGCTCAGCACATCATCTGCCGTTCAGGCCCGGGGAAGGGCCCAGGCTGGACACCCAGCACCGCCTCTCCTCCCTTCTTACGCAGTTTCACCCTGAGCACCTCTTTACCCACATCTCTGCACCTCCCACCACTGCCAGCCTGCTTCAAGTCCCCTCCACCTCCCGCTCGGAGGGACTGGGCTCCCAGCTCCCTCCCTTTTCTCCCTGCCATCCATTCTCCAAAGGGCATCAGTCACCTTTTTAAAACAGTAAGCAGATCCTGTCACACACCTCGCCTCCTCCCAATCCCTTAAAACACTTTATTGGCTTCTGGTTTCTCTTAGGACAAAGGCCCAGATGCTACCAAGGCCTACCTCTCCCACCTACATCTGCCTTCGCTCTGCATTGTGGCCACCTGGCCTTTCCCTTCCTGGATTTCCCCCGAGATCCTGCCAACCACAGAGCCTTGAAACGAGCCTGGGAGAGGGCATCTGGTCACCTGTCTCCGTACTGTCATTTCACATTCATTTGTGAAACTAATGCCCCCTGCCTGCCTAGAATATAAGCTTCTTGAGGTCAGGGGCCTCACCTGGCACGTAGATGTAGCTCAGGAAATATGTGCTGACCCTTGGGCCTTACTTGGGGATAACACTCCTGGGTTCTGGTCACCATGCTATGCAGGGCAGATGCGTGTTGTTCCTGTGATAGGCAAGGTGTGAGCCGCGGGACCCAGCATCCAGGGCAGTGGAGGCAGAGTGAAGGCCTGGAGCACAAGGCTCCAGGGAGGTTCTGGTCACAGGGGAAGAAGATGATGGCATAGGGACTTGGCCTTGAATTGAGGGGAAAAAAATATTTCCTACCAGTATGAGAAAGGAAGAGGGAAAGTCTGCGTGGAGCCCTTATTACAAGGTGGGTGGCCCTTAGTTCTTTCTCTCTAAATCGTGTCACACATTGGAGACTCAGTCACATCTTCCTTCAAGACACCCGCCTACTAGGACAATTACAGGGAGCCTTGGGGCCTTTCAGAGGGTGGGGACTTACTGGCAGAAGAGGCTGAGAGGGGCTACAGGAGAGAGGCTTAGCATGGCCAGGGCAGGGAGGGGAAAGGTCTCCAGGTGCTGTTGGTGCAGAGGCCCTTGGGCTGGCCGGGTTCCTAGGCGGCACACTGCGTGGGGTCTGGTACCTGGAAGATTTGCGGGGCCGGTCCGGCGCTTTTGTGACACCCGATTTTAAACTCTTCAAATGGGACAGGGAAAAATGTTCAGATCACTCAAGCTGGGCTGCGGCATGGAGCCACAAGAGATAAAGATAAGGCCCAGGTTTGACACCTGGAGGAAGCTCAGTTCGTGTTCATGTTCGCTGAAGCGCAGGCTGCTAACCCAAGTTAGCAGGAGAAAACCCAGGGAGGACGCTTTGCTGAGCGAGCGAGCGAGCGAGCGAGCAGGGACACATGACATCAGGGGAAAGTAACTTCATTTTCTCTTCTGAGCCCCGGCAAACATTTCTCTGGATCCGTTTTTCCCTGCAGGGAAACTCAGGCAAGCACCGGTCACCGTTCTGGCTATTGTCTTGTGATAAATACCTTGCCGGTGGGATCTCCCAACTCCAAGCTCCTTTTCCTCCAAAGTGTCTCCCTCACGGCGTCAGGCAGGGGAAGTTGCAGGTGCAGAGGAAAACAAGCTAGTTCTCCCGCGTCCATCCCCTGCGTGCCTAGCACGGCGAGCCTGCTCCTGGGTGGAGGTCAGAGCGGGGAAGGGCCTGCCTGAAGGTCCGGCTGACTGCAGAGCCAGGTCCCCTTGTGGGGGAGTCTGTGGTCACTTTAGAGCGTCTCTTGTCACTGAGGCTCTTTTATATGTGGTTTCCTGACATTGGGCCAGGTCTCCTGGCCGGTCACGCAGGATCTCTGTGGCTCCGCCAGTCCTCACCTCATCCCTTCGTGGTCCTCTTCCGTGGGATCCAAAGCCTGCGCGATATTGTGATTTATAAGAAACACAGATTTAGTCTTCATCTCCGTTCCTGGCACGGGGCTCCTAAACCCCTTGGAATTCCCGAAGTGTGGCGAGGGATTAAGGGTTATCTTTTGTTATGTTAACGAGGTGAGTTTTGGAGAGCCCCTAGGTCCCCTTAGGCTGGGGGCTGGTTGCCATGGGAAACCGATCACGTGATCAGAGGGTTGGCACTTTCACTTCCCGCCGGCCGCCCCACCTCTCGGGAGAGGAGAAGGGCTGGAAACCGAGTTCAGTTACCAACGGCCAATGATTTAATCAATCGTGTCTGTATCCTGAAGCCTCCGTAAAAATGCAAAAGGATGGGGGTCTGGAGAGCTTCCAGGCTGGTGAGAACATGGCAATTTGGGGAAAGTGGTGTGCCCAGAGAGGGCAGGGAAGTTCCGCACCCTCTTCCTTCTGGCGGTTCCTCTGCTTGGTGTGGGAACGCCCCTTCCCCACACCGGGTGTCAGAAGTGTGCCATAGGCAGAATCAAGGAGACACTGGGAGAAGTGAGTTTTTCCAACATCCTGGAAACACGCCTCTTCCAGGCACCCCGCTCACACTGAGGCTTCTCAGGGGTTACATACCACTTCTTGTGTTCCTCAAATCCAGGAGACACCTGTCAAATTCTTTGAGCCCCCCTACCCCCGGGCTGGAAAGTGGGGGTGATGCACAACCCAGAGATGACTGCCCTTCCGGGAAAGCCTGGCGATGTGACCGTCAATCTCCGGAGGGCCTGGAGGTGGGGCACGGGCTGATTGATTTCAGACTCTTTCTCAAACGGCAGAGGTGGTCCCCAAGTTAGGAAGTGGCATGTTTGGCACCTGCTCAGTTATTCTTGGCTATTGGGGGCTCTGCCCAAATGTCAAGACATATGGAAGAGTCCCAGCTATCCTCCTATTCCACGAACGTCATAACAGGCAGGGATGTATAAAAAAGTTGAGGCAGGAGGTAAGGAAAGTAGAGTCCGGAGCAAGAGGCACAAGCTCTTTCTCTCTCTCTACTCCTCCTCCCACTCACTCTCACACTCTCTCTTTCTCTCCAAATAAATACATAAACTTAAAACAAGATCAATAAATGGGGCACCTGGGTGGCTCAATCGGTTGAGCATACGACTTCGGCTCAGGTCATGATCTCTCGGTGAGTTCCAGCGCCCCCCGCCTCACCCCCTCACCACCACTCGCCCCTCGGGCTCTGTGCTAACAGCTCAGAGTCTGGAGCCTGCTTCAGATTCTGTGTCTTCCTCTCTCTCTGCCCCTTCCCTGTTTATGTGCTTTCTTTCTCTCTCTCTCTCTCTTTCACTTTCTCTCTCTCTCAAAACTAAACATATAAATAAATAAATAAATAAATAAATAAATAAATAAATAAATAAATAAATAAAAGATTGAGAGAAATGTGTGGGTTATAGTCTCATCACAGATCATCAGGAACATGGTGGGATGAACCACTGGCCTTTGTGGGCCCTCGATGGTCCCCGAGCCTCATTCCTCACCAGTGTGGGTGACAGCATTCAAGAGTGGAGTGCCTCAGCCTCCGCCATGGAGATGCCCCTGAGATCCAGATGACCAGGGCGAGGCTGAGCCGGGGGCTTCGCAGGGACCTGTCCTGGGATGTGGACAGTGTGTTAGCTGTAGGTGTTCCTCAGGCAAAATGGAATGGCCACGCACGTTTCCAGAAAATCCAGAAC